ATTTTCTTCACTCGACTCGAATGGGAAAGCGAATTCTAGTCTGACGGAGTTTAAAATTTCAATTCTTTGAATTGAAGATTAATAAATACGAATTATATATAAATTACAATAAAACAATCGCGAGGCAGGAGATTAAAAAGTATATTTAATATTTGCGAATGTCACGATTATTCGCATGTTTTGAAACATGAGAGAATATTAGAAGCATCTGCGTATGTTCCATTTGTTCCAAATTTAAAATTTCACGCTTGTTTACAAAGGACATTCAATATTTACGAATATCAGAATTATCCGCGTGGTAGTCTTATTTTTTTGAAATTTGAGAATTTACGAATTCGTAGCTGTTTTTCTTTTTTTTTTTTTTTAAAGCCGCACGTTTATTTTTTTTTTTCAAATTTAAAAATTTGTTTGCTCGTTGGTTGTCGTTAAAAAAAGATATTTAATATTTACGTCGCAATCACTCATACGTTATTTTTATTTTCTGAAATTTGAGGATTTATGGACTCGTGGTTGTTTTTTTTTTCTTTTTTTAATTTAAAAGTTTATGCGCTCGTGATTGTTATTCAAAAGAAATATATTCAATAAATATATATCACGCTTGTTTATTTTTTAAAAAATTTATGCGTATCACGATCTGTACACATTATTCTTATCCCAATAAAACATGGAAATTTTCCAATTCCTGGTTTTCGTCGAAAAAAGAGGAAAGAAAAGAAAAAGAGAAAAAAGAGGATAAAAAGATTAAACCGAGTGGAAAGTGGCACGTAGAATCGTTCAAATATCAATTACGCTGCTTAAACACTCCGACGCGTCGTTCCTCCGTGTACATAGCCCATATTCGTCCCACGAAAATTAAGTTACACACACCGAAATCCCCAACGAGAGGCCTAGAAAAATTTCCATGTTTTCCTACAATCTGTGTCGGCCGCGGGAAATGATTCAACGTTCTCGTTTTCCTGGACGACACGGACTAAAAAGAAAGGAAAACAGAGAGAGAGAGAAAGAAAACTCTTTGAAAATCTCTATTTTCCAGAGAAAGAGGGACGCGACAGAGACAGAGGAATTGGACAGAAAAAAAAAGAAAAAGAAAAAGAGAAAAGACAGATAGAGAAGAAGAGATAGAAGACCGGTAATCTCAGTGTAAATATTTACCCTTGCAGGCTGAGGCAGGAGAGCCACGGAGGTGCCTGGTGCCCGAAGCAGCAGATCACGACGGAACCGCGCGAGTGGTTGGAAATCGATCTTCACACGGTCCACATGATCACCGCCACCGGCACCCAGGGACGCTTCGGCAACGGCCAAGGCGTCGAATACTCGGAGGCGTACATGTTGGAGTACTGGAGGCCGAAGCTCGGCAAGTGGGTTCGATACAGGGACGTCCGGGGCGAGGAGGTAAGTAATCGTCGTCGTCGTCGTCGTCTCAAAGGTGTCGCGATAATTGACCAGGCTTACCAGTTGCCAGCAGTCGTCGAAAGGTGTCGATTGCGCTTTCTGTCTTGGCGAGTACCTAAGTAGCTTTCCCCGGGAAGTCTCGGAAGTATGGAGCCTTAAACAGAGGAAGGAGGGTGAATCTTTCTCGTTACTGTCGTGCGTTGTCGGAAATCGGGGATCATGCAGTTGTTAGTCGCGCAGTTTCAGGCAAGCTGATCGATCAGACGCGCGAGTAGATTTGACGTTGAGTCGAGTCGAGTTTACGACGGGACGTAATTTCGTCGTCTGACAGGAAATAGAGAAATCTACTTAAGCCGAGATAAGGCGAACGCACGAGTCCTGTTTAAATTCGCGTGTTTCGAGGAAATTGATAGGATACGTTTGTGAAACACGTGAATTTTATTTGAATTTTTTTTTTTTTATTGTTTTTGAAAAACTTTTGATAGTTTCGACACGAGGAAGAGACTCGAACACAGTGACTCAAGAAAGATCTAGTCTGTTATTGGGCATCTGTAATTGTAAGGCTATTGTACACTCCATTATCTGACTCTTTCTTTTCTTTATTATGCATTCTGACTAATGTACAAAGGAAAAAAAATAGCTCGATTTCAAACAGATGACAGAGAAGACTTATTACTGTCATATCGTTCGCGAGCTTATCAATTATAAACGATATATTACGTTTGTACTTTTAAAAACTTGTACTTTTACTTTGTTCGAAGCAAAGAAATTCCCGATCGTTAATTCTACTAAATATTAGATACGAAACGAGTCACTGTCCTCAGATGTAAAGGTATCTAACACAGAAAGATTTCCTGGTATTTCTTGCGAACAGAAATTCTACAGATTTATATTTAGCACTAAACATTCTTACTTGTCTCATTTGTTGGGAAACTATGGACGAGTGAAGCAACAGATTTACAATAAAGTATCTAAAAACATTTGAAAATTCATTCAATTGGTAGAATTGTTTCAATTCTTCTCTGGCCAGAGCCAGTTTTTTCTCATCGCAATTTATGATTCTATTAGCTTGAACAATAAAGGGAACAGAATTCGATCGTTTCTAGAATCTTTAGGCTCTCCAGCAAACACTCGGTGGGGGGCAACGCGCAAGGAAGAGAGGAACGAGAGGTCGGTTAACGATCGATACGCGTGTGTTTAGCATTCGCGGTCGTGAGAGAGCGGCGCGCACGGCACACAAGAGGCGCATAATTCAATTCAATTAACCGGTGGCAACAATTCAGCGGCGGGCCAGATCGGCGCGAGAGGTCGCGCGTAAGCGGAATCGCGGCGGTTAAATTTAGTCTGCTTGCGGCTTATGCGCGTAAAACGAGCAGAGCACCGTGGATTATTGGGAATGATTTGTGGCGGTTGTCCGCGCAGGGTCCGCGCGCAGACAGTGGCGACCGGGCCCCGGTAACTAAACCGTGACGTTAACAAGACGTAAATCTCGGACGCAATATGCGCCGCCTCAAAAGTGGCGCGCGGCTCTGCTTCGATGGCAATTTACTGGAATAGATCGGTAACCGTGAACTCGCGCCACTTTAATTAGCAACGGCCAACAATAGAGGCCGGGCTAGAGTCGTTCATTTATTACTACGCGCGTACTTCTGCTATCCGCGTGCTACCCGCTGCAGAATCTGGCGAATTCGAGCGAGCGAGCAGAGAAACGGGTTGACGTCGATGAATGAACTGTCCTTCGCGCGCACCGACCACGCGTCCGCCAAGAATTCCCCGACCGTCGCGTTGACGTGGGTGTTATAAGTTTTGCGCCGCGTACGAAACGCGTATTATGCTCGCCGGATTCCTGAGATTTTTTCCAGCAACGGAGAAAGATACGTTCTCTCGAGTTCCACGTGAAGCAGAGAATGCAACGTGCTTTTGGTCGTTGAATCTCTTTTTTCCGTCCAGCATTATTTATTATAATAGAGATATATCATAAAGAAATATGCATTAGAATTAATTAGGGATTAGTTTTACTGAAAATAATGTCTCGTTCGAAAGTTTTGGTTAATTTAATATATTAGATTAAGATGTGGGTATTTAATTTTATCTTGCAGCTTACAGCCTCCCTCGAAATCAAGCAATTTAAAAATTCGGACTTGAAGTTATTGTTTCCAATGTCCAACGCTAGTACAACTCTTCAGTTGCACATGTACCTTTTAACATGTTAACATTTTACTGATTCTTATTAACTGAATTCCACATATAATTATGATAAATTGTTCCAAAATTTTTGACTGGAGAATGTGTGTTATGTGAGACGAAAGAAGAAGCAAAGAAAATTCATCACACTTTGGCTAGAAATTGTCCGACGTCAAGAGAATTGAAAATAAATTTTTTAATCTTCGCAAGTGATGAATGTGGCAAAAGATCGACAAGTCCGAAAGATTGACGACTTCAGAAACGAGGCAACTCTTCTACGAGTTACCCAAGTTACCGAATCCATCATTCACATCCTCGCAGAGAAACATCTGACCTCCGTCGAAGACCAAGTAGTCGAAGCGATTCGTCGAAGTTGCGAAAAGTTAGCCACGATAACCTACTACACGTTGGCCACGGAATAAATATAAATCACTTAGAACTTACTGACATTGTTTTCAGTCGCATCGCGCGATTTATCATTGCCCAGTGGAAACTTGCGGGAAAGGAAGAAACGGCCAGCTGGCTGGAGAAACTTGCCCTGTTTGATACGTGTTTGTTCCGAGGAGCGACGCTGGAACCAATATAAGTCATTTCGACCCGTCGTCGACGATAACGTTATTTTCCAGCCGCGTGTTTTTTGTTTTATTTGCGGACGTTTATTCCGATGGCGAACGATTCCTGATCCTCGAGAACAGAAAATAGACGGAAAGCAAGGAAATAAAGAGAGAGAGAGAGAGAGAGAGAGAGA